CCAACCACCCATTGCTGAGAAAGACATATTGAAAATTGCTGTTCTGAAAGAACGGAAGCCCAGCGGACGTTCCAGTCTGTTGTCAAGCACAGAAGTCACAGATGGAAACTCGTAAAGGCATAGGGGAGATGATTATATTGCCATAATGTTGTCAGATGTAATGTAAAATTATATACTACGAAGTGCCATGTTATATATCTATATCTATCTATCTATATATTATACATACATACAGTCAGACAGACAGACAGACAGACAGACAGACAGACAGACAGACAGACAGACAGACAGACAGACAAATAGATAGATAGATAGATAGATAGATAGATAGATAGATAGATAGATAGATAGAGAGAGAGAGAGAGAGAGAGAGAGAGAGAGAGAGAGAGAGAGATTCCGATCGTATAGTGATAAAGATGTAGGGTGGGAACAGTAAAACAACGAAGGAAGAGCAAGCTGACACCTGCACTTCAACAAACTTTTTTAAAATTATCAAAATGAGCATTTTATTCCTTTACATACAGTTTTGTTTTCTTTTCTCTTGAAATATGATTCAGAGACAAAACTTGGTTGGTACTTCACAGGTCTCTTCGTGTTTCTGTTGTTGTTTTTTTCTCTTCCAGATTCTCCAAAGCTTTAAAAGGAAAAAGAAGAAAGATGACCTCACTCAAGGTTCAGCACGAACCACGAACAAACGTTGCCATAGTAATTTTAAAAATACGACATGTCTATCTCTGCGACCTCTGAAGAAGGTCCGGGCATTGTAATATAAGAAGAGTTATTGACAAATTTTTAAATTCTCTACAAGATGCTCAGGCTAACAATGGCAGCAATTCGTGCTTTCTCAAGCATCTCGACAGCTCTAGAGACCAAGTGACTGACAAGAGCTTTAATATAATAATATCAAGGTATTAGATGTCTCAGCATGCATGTGTCGGCTACTACTAATCAAACGTCATTTTTTCCTACTTTCTTGACCGAAGTGTTAGGGCTATTCCACATTAATGACGGGACAAATGAAGTATTTTTTTCTGTCCCGTCAGTAAAGGAAACTAAACACGTCATAGAATTGTCAAAAAGCAATTTTTTTCAAATGTCTAATTTGTCTTTCAAATTTTCTAATCATTTAAAGTTGAAATAAATTAATTGATATTGAAATACAGAGTTACCATTGTAAGAAAATATAGGTCAAATGTCCCGCTTGTTACCGTGTGATAGCCTCTCAGTAGTTTTATAGAAACATGTATCATGGCGTGTACATCTTCTTTTCATGAGTCGGTAGGAAAGTTAATAGCATTTTCGTTTGTTACTGATGGTGTGTGAGATTGTAGGAATGAAATAGGGCTGTCTTCTTTTGTTTTTGTACAGTCTTAGTCTTAACAAACAACAAGACGTTCTTGACTGGCGGCTCTTTAAGGACGATTCACATGTAGCGATGTGCGGCGACGGAACGGCGACAGTGCGGTGGGAGTTTGCGGAAATTGCACAGACTTTAATGTTCACATGATTGCGGTGTTTCTGAGCGAAAGTATGGCGGTGTCTTTGCTTTGTGGTTAGGCAGCGTTACACAAGGGTGGATATTTCTGAACGAGTCCGTTACGTTTTTAAAAAATTGATGTTGAAAACTTCATTTTGCCACACTCTTGATCGGGGACTCTGGTGGCCTAGAGGTTAAGGTGTTCGCCTCTCATTCAAAGGTCCCGGGTTCGAATCCGGGTAGCGACCGAAAATGTTTTTTTCTAAAATTGTATCCTTTCACCCCCTGCCCTGCTCTCTTGCAATGTTCTGTTGTCTGCTTTCGTCGCCGCTTTCTTGCCCCACCCCGTCACCTCTTTTGCCCCCTCCTCTGAGCTCCTGACTCTTTCTACAACATTTCAACTGCTTCTCCTTGGCTCCTTCTTACTGTTGTCTTTCAGCCACACTCCTGATCTTGTGGTAGGAAAGATCTACACCAAGCCTTCTCGGACAAGGGCGAAAAATCTCGGAGGGCCCGTGTGCAAGTTACGCAAGTTAAAGATCCCTTGGTGGTCTAAAATCGGAAAGAGTAGGCTTCGGTCGCCACCCGAGCAAAATTCAAAATTTCCTACAAACTGAAAATGTTCGGTGTGTCCCGCGTGCTCATATGACCTAATGCAGTTCCGAGCGCCGTAAAACACTTACCCC